ACACCCTGACGGTGCTCTTCATCCTCACCTGCGTGCTGGGCTACGTGACGCTGCTGGAGGAGACGCCGCGGGACACGGCCTACAACACCAAGAGGCGCAGGCCGCAGGCCGCCCCGGCCGGCCGTGCGCTCAGGACGGCCAGCAGGCCCCGCGCTCCTGGACAGCAGCGAAGTCAGAGACGCTGCCGTCCTCAGGGTGCAGGCCAGGGCTGGGGGCACCCCAAGGTCAGGGCAGCACCCTCCTAGGGCAAAGCAGCCGCCAGCCGGCTTTACTGTGTCCCCGGGGCCACGGCACGCTGTCCACAGAGGCCAGCGCGCCAGGGCTCGCGGGCGCCGGCCCCCCGCGACTCCCATGCAAGGGCAGGGCAGTGGACTTTGAGAAGTGGCCGGGCAGGGGACGCCACACACCCGGGCCAGGGACACAGGCCTCGGGGTAAGGCCTGGCTTCAAGAAAGGTCCCAGGAGAATGACGGCCCTCGGAGCGTCCTCCTACAGGTGCGACTCCCGACAGCCAAATGGTTTCCCTTGGTCCCCGGGGCCCCGTCTGTTCACCAGGTCCCCCGGCCTGACCGCCGTCGGGGCCTGGGCGCTGGGGGGACCCGGCAGCCGCCACCCGTCCCGGCCCCTCGGCGAGGCCGGCGCCCCCCGTCCGCCGGGTACCTGGCATGCACAGGCACGTGAAGCCGCCGATCTTGTCCAGGCAGGTGGCGTCGTTCTGGCAGGGGTCCGAGTGGCACTCGTTGATGTCCATCTCGCACCGGGGCCCCGCGTAGCCCCGCAGACACTCGCAGTGGAAGGCGCCGTCGGTGTTCACGCACTTGCCCGCGTGCTCACAGGGGTTGCTGTTGGCTGGGGGACAGAGCGCCCGTCAGTGGGGAGAGCCCTGGACAGTGGAGTTCACACGGGCCTGGCCCCCGCGGCCCGCTGTCGGCGCCCGCCGGCCCCCTTCACCTGGACCCACACACTCGGTGTGAACCCCCAGGCCTCCGCTCCTCCAGCCCGGCGATCACACGGGGCTCTCGGAGAAGCCAGCCCGAGTCCAGCCCCAGCACAGACCCAGGCCACGCCGACGGGCTCGTGGCGAGGGGTGGGCGCAGCAGGAGGGCCTGGGGCTGGGCCGGGCCCCCGGGACGGCGCCGGCCGCGTGGGTGGGGGCCGTGCGCCCTCTGGAAGGACCGAGCGTCCTTCTGCCCTGTGGGGCTTGAAAGCACGCTGGGGCCCGGGGCTGAGGGAGAGGGGCCGGGCAGACGACCTGGCGGGGCCGTGCCCCCGGGCCCGGGTGGGTACCGGCTGGGGTGCAGGTGCCGTGGGCAGCGGTGTCCCCAGCAGGCCTGCAGAGACAGCCCGAGGCTCCCCAGAGCGCTCCGACCGCCACACCCGATTCGCACCGACTGTGGGGTACGCCAGCCACAGAGGGGGCCCTCCCGGACCAGGAAGCCCCCCACGTCCCGCAGGGGCCCCAGCCAAGCCGCCAGCGCCAGTGGCAAGACATCCTGCCAGTCTGGTCGAGAACCCAGCAGCAGGGGTGTCAAAGCCCCGAACAGAAAGTGGCAGGAGCTAGGAGAGCCCTCAGCGGCTGAGCGAGACCCACGGGGCAGAGGCCC